GTGCACGCGGGTGTTTCCAGCCGCGGGAGCTGCGAGTCCTAATAAAGAACATGAGAACCGTAATTTGCATGGGTCAAGTTCTTCAGTGTCAGCACAAAAAGCTGACTTCTGCTTCCCCAAGCAGCATCTTGGAAAGCTGCCCTGGTTTCTCGGTCATGGTTATCTTGTCATGCTGCCACGGGATGGGGTCTCTAAGAAGACAGCATCTTCTTAGAGATGCTCTCCAAGCAGACGAGAGCATCATCTTGGTGATGACACCAACAGGTTCGGTTAGGGACAGCTCACTGGGAGAAGTTAAAAAAAAAACAACAAACAAAACAAAATGGTGGGGGGGGCGGAACTGAGGCTGAAGATAGGGAAAAAAGACATCTGATCACTTATTTCCTCAAACGATGTTGACAGGAAGTGGCAAAACTACATGGGGAGGGCACCAGGAAATAAAATAGAATTTTGTAACATCTTGGGTACAGGCTGTGCAGCAGACAAAGGACACTGGAGGGGAAGGACTACTGTCACAATGCTAAGTAACAGGGAGCACAGAATCGCAAAAGCTTTCGTCAACAGAATTTCATACCCAATTATTGTCACGGGACACTCAAATTTTATTTCCTGCAATTCTCCTTGCAAAAGGCCAGTTCTCATATGACCTCCATAATTTTTTTTAATCCTATCAATGAAATTGTCTTTCCTTCAAGACAGCCCACATTCTTCCCTTTTAGGAGAGCTGATTTCCCTTAGAATTTGAAACTGTTTCCTAAGACCCGTAAATACCGAGTTTTCCCTTACAGAGATGAACTAACATCAGCAAGCCTTTGATTTTGTTACAATTCTGCTAGATGCAGCCCACCCACAGAGGATGCCATACAAAGAGGCTTTTTTCTTCTTCTTCTTCTTAACTGGGTGAAAAATGGTTGTGCCAGGTGGCAACTTTGAACACAGGTAAAGAGCAGACGATACGCACCGGCATGGGATCCTTAGGAGATGCATGGCCTCTTCTGTGTGTGCTGCAGCTGCTGGGATCACAATCAGTTTCCAGTCTTGTGCCTGCTTCTGCTCTGGGCAAGCAAGAGAGTCAGAGTTGATCTGAACCTACCAAATAGCCTAAGAATTAACAGGTTAATTTATTATTTAACAAATCCAGGTGACAGGATCAACTCAGTAGGGCTCTTTTCTGCATAACAATGCCAAAGGCCTTCAACCTACCTGCCCAAAATGGCAGTCAGTAGGGTAGGTGGAAGGGAGCAGAGCCTGATTCAACAGCAGCTATTGCTCCTTTTCTTGTCACTGGCTGGCAGAAATCTCTGCAGAAGTGCATCTAAAAATATTTTGAAAACTTGGCCTCCACTGATGAGAAAATTAAGTGGTGACTCATGCTCCCATCAGCTCCAGACTTGATTACTGCAATGTGATGGACTGAGAAGCTGATATTCCACCGAGACTGCAATTTGCTCAGGGGAGCAGCCGAGAGGCCTCATTGGCACCAATTGCTTCCAACACCTCTCTTGTCCTTTTAATCACTAACAAATTTAATTTCACTTCTCGCTCAAGATCTCACTCTCCACCTTTCTGGCAAGAGAACAATTTAGAGGCTGCTTTCATGACCTCTGCTACAGCTTTAGATGCCCGCATGAAGCAGGCCTGCCTGTAGCAATAATGCCTCACACCTGCATTTCTTGGCTTTGCTTTCTCTAGTCCTGCACATATAAAGCCACTGCACATATAAAGCCAGTCCTTGTCCACACAACTCCAGAAGATTATATACCGTCCTGCAGGATGTTCTCTGTTGAATGAGAATTTTACAGGAACTGTACACACAAAACTTTGAAGAATTTAATCCAAAATGCCTCCTCAAAGAAGTCACAGTCTAATAATCTCAAGTGATAACGTGTTTAAGCAAGAAAACAGCAAAGAGGAGACGACCTCCCTCTTCTGCCCTCGTTCTGACACAATGCTGTAGTTTTGGTCTGGGAGACTGGGGCTACCCTTGGAAATAGGGACAAAAGAGATTTGGGAGGGCAGGCCATCAAATCTAAAGTAAAATACTCTTCATTTACTCTCATCATGTGCTATATTATCACCGAGCTTTGTTAGAACAATGGCAGGGCTTTTCAACCAGCTTCCCTAGGGAGACCGCTCTGCAGCTTAACAGCCCTTTCACTGGAGATGTGCAAGTGTAACCAAGGGCAGAATTTAGTCTCTTGTCTATTTAATGTGTTTGTGAGGGACTGTATGTGTTTCTGGCACTTTATAATAATAGTAATATAAATGCATTTGGATTATAACAAAATGGAGAAACTATGATTTAGCCCTTTACTGTGTTGTATTTCCCAAATGCATCAACATCTATTTAAGTGCAAAATAGTCTACACTTTACAAATACAATGCTGCGATCGTCTGCTGTAAAGGTTCTATACGAGATTATGATTCAATACAAAACACAATTCAGTGTCTGAAATTTCATTTTTAATGTCAGAACAACATCAAAAAAGTAGCTCTTTCTCCATATGCCGTCTTGCAAAAAAAAATGTATACCAGGGACTTGGTCCTTTCGAGTGATTTCTACATATATAACTGCTCATCTCTTATGCACATAAGCACTTGCACATAAATAAATGTGCTTGCAGACAGACAATATTTCATCTTGCCTTCTAACCTCCTGCTGTCAAGATATTTCCACAGAAAACCGT